ATTATGGGTGAAATGATTGAAGAGAATAGAAGAGAATAAAAGAAGAAAAAAAATGTGAGAAGAAAATGAACATTCACTTTTTAGAAGCATCACCACCATCTTCATCTCCAAGGGTAGATGACCACTGACCATTGACCGTTACTCTCATCACAAATGACAATATCATTGTCTCACTTTTATCTCTTAATGGTCAGTGTATTTGAGAGAGAGAGCAAGAGAGAGGAAAAAAAGAAATATATTCTTTGAATATATTCTTTTTATTAATAATTCTTAGGGTCCATTCAAAATATTAATAACAACAACAAACAAACATTCTTATTATCTAATATATTTTCATAACTTGAAGCAACTAATATTTTTCGAGCAATAAATCTTTACTCGCCTTTTCGAGCCTCACCAAGTCTGGATAAATGTCAAAGTTTGATTGCGCTTCTTAACTGCAATTGAAAAATTGACCAAAAATTATGGACTTTTAACGAGTTGCATTTACACTGGTCAACAAGCACACGAAATTTATCGCTCAAGAACAAAAAGAAAAAATCTTTTCATGCAATTTTCAAACTTCGATAATCTCAGACCAATAGCAAGTCTGGTTGCAAAGTTATTGGCGTTCAACATCTTACTAAGTAGCTGAATAACCCTGTAGATAAGCTCAACAGAGCAATCCTTTTGGCTTCCTTGGCTTCCTCTTGTTGCTCCTTGCTTTACATGATCATTCTTGGTCTTCACTGTTCAACATGCAATATGAACACTTTATGAGTCCTTCTTACCCTGCAAGTCACACTTTGCTGTAAAGATTTTTCCATATAAATGATTATCTTTATTCACCATTTTGGCCATTAATAAGCACGAGAAGAGAGGCGAGTTTATTACGTTGAGAATAAAGCTATTAATTAAGAATAATGGTTCTAATATTATTATTAGCCTTGTTATTATCGCTCTTGTTATTGTCCCTCGATAATGACCTTTTCATTTAGTTGAATGGGAAAAGTTCAAATATCGATTGTAACATTTAGAAGACAAAAGACACAAAATTCAATTTGTGTTCAATTTGAATTGAATGCTAACATCTTCAGGATAAACAATCTTCAATGTATCAGTTTCATTTGCTTCTCATCTCTGCTTATCGAGTTCAATCTTGAATAATGTTTCCGTCTTTGTTTTCTCATATTTATATTCTGCTGCTTCTCCTATTATTACTATTACTAAAACTATTACTATTATTACAATCATTATTATACTATCATTATCCGTGTTAACCACTTATGCTATGTTTGTTTTAGTAGTTTACAGTTTAATATTGAACATTATTATTGCAACAATATTGATATTTGATAACGCACACTTGATTATTGATATACAACTTATCAGGCCTTTTGGTTCAACTTTCAACTCAAGGTTATTGGCACTTATCAACCCATCAATCACTTGACGAGTGTTGAAAATACTTGTTAGCGTGACAGAGAAGAAACAAGAAAAAAGATTGAAATTGCGTTGTGAAACTTTAGTTTTTTCAAGCGATATTTTGCTGTACCTGGTCGAGCATTAAACTGAAATTAGCTGCAATAAAAAAATGAAATTTTTATCAGAATCAAATCAGTCAGATCAGTTATCAAACAAATGATTAATTGGCGATAAATGAAATAGTATCGGTTGTTGGTGAAATTTTGAGCCTTTTTGCTAGTCACAAAAAGTGTGCAAAATTGAAAAAATAAGCCAAACTTCACAAGTTAGTTAACTTATAGATTGCATAGTCGCTTAAAGCAGTATAATGATCAATCCTGATTAGTACAGAATTTTCAAATTCGAAATTGATTAGGTCAGGTCAGGTTAGGTTAGAATTTTAATTGGAGAGAATCCAGTCACTTCGTTTCAGAAGATGAGAAATGAAACAATGGCATTTCCAAGCAGTTAGCATGAGCAGAACTTTTTTCAAATTTCATTTCTGATGCATACTATTTAAGCTTGCCGACCAAAACGACAAAAAATAAACGGGATTTTTATTTTAAACCAGTCGAGATTGTTCACCAACTAATAGGAAACGTGAACTGGATTCAAACCGTCATAAGACAAGCTAGTTTTACCCTACTGATGACTTGTCGTTGCAAAAGAAATCCTGCTTAGTACGAGAGGAACCAAAGGTTCGGACAAATGTTACATGTAACTGGTCGACCCAACAGTGGCGCGAAACTTTCGTCCGAAGACAAAGGAAAGTTGCTTCAAGCTTAAAGCAAATCACCCTTATCAGTGTTTTTACACTCTAACCGTTTTGAACAGTAAAATCTTTCGAGTATAAACTTTTTTGTCACAATAATGCAAAATGACGTGATAGCAACTATTAATTAATGACTTTTAAGGTGAAAACAAAAGATTATCTGTTGAATCATTAAAGGGCATTTAAAGTATAAATGTTGTTATTGAGTGTAAAAGTTGAAAAATTGTTTTTATCTAATCTTTCAATCGTAATCCAAAGTTTGTTTGTTTGGATGAATAAGATTACCATGATATTTACCAAAAGGATAACCTACAATGTTAAATGACATGTTATTTCTCCATAAAAATAGTAAAAAAATAAAAGAATAACATTTTAGGTAAATTTACTGATTATATTGAGTAAAAGAGAGAGAGAAAAGAATAGCGAAAGAAGCGAAATAAAGGTTACACACTTTTTCTGTTCCAAAACAAGCGGATTATCATTACTTATCCTCATGTTATCCTGTTCATTCTTCTTCCATCATCATCTTCATCCTCAAAATGGTTCCTTCATCTTCATCTTCTCCTTGTTCATGGTGAACAATTTTCTGCCTGATTCACAAACAATTACTTGATAACTATTTATAAAAATGTTGTAGATCATGTATCAAGTGTGATCTATTACATTATGATGGTGATGCTGATGATGATGTGAATGAAAAGTAATGAAAGGCCAAATGCAAAAGTAAGGCAAAAAGTATCGACGAAAAAAAAAGTGGAGCAAGAAAATAATATCCAATGATAAAGATGATGATATATCGATTTAAGAAGGTCGGAAGTTTGTGGACAAAGTAGATCATTTTTTTGCCTTTCTTTTCCTCTCTTTAACTAAAAAGTGTCTACAACAGGCAACAATATTATAATCGATGATATTGATAATGATGATGAGAAAGATGTCCAAGAGAGAAAAGTTGATCAGAAGAGAAAAAAAAATTTGGAACTTCAGGTAATTACTTTTTATCCACAAATTTTTTGCTCATTGATTCCAATGTGGTCCATTATTTATGATCATTCACCATCATTTTCATTCTCATAATCATCTTGATCATCTTATAAGCAACAGCAAAAAATAATCAATTATTTATTCAACCCTCAAGGGCTGAAGCAAAAAATGGTGAAAATGAGAAAAGAAAAGAGTGAAAAAAAGCAAATTTTTCTTTTCGTCAGTGAAAGTTTTGAATGAACGTTTTTGGTGAAGCCAAAATTTATGCAATAAAACAAATCGCTTTATGCAAGATTACAAGTCACTCTAAACATGTTGGCATTCATTATCAAATGACCCTGGGTGGAAAGATTTTTGTTGCTTGACGCAGAAAAAATGTGATTAATTTTCAAGCGATGCGATAATTTAAAAGAACAGCAAAAGTTTCTCTTCATTATCTGAGTTTCCAGTTTCATGGAGAAAAATGTTGCCCAGGCAAACATAAATTACGCATCTAGATATGCATCTGCATCTTCCGACCTCCTCCCTCTCATCATAATCATGATTCCTGAATTTACTTTCAATTGCAAATCAATTTATCTTTTCCCTGCAAAATGGGAGTCAAAAAGGTATCTCAACACTCATTAATATTATGCATATAAATAGTCATCTTCATCCTCTTGCCTTCTGTAATTGCCTTGCCAAGTAACTTTTTTGCTTCTTACCTTTACAAAGTTTCAATTGATAATCTTTGAAACTTCATTCACAATCATGTGAGTTGAAATCGTCATGAATCAATGGAAACAAGAAACAAGAAAAAAGCATTAAAATTGAATCAAATGCTTCTCAAGATGAAAATGTATCTTTATTAGTTTATCTGGTGATGATCATGATGAGTTCAAATTGAATAATGTCCAAGGTGGAAAAAAGGTAAATTGAAATTTTGAAATGTGAGAAAAGAAGTTTTTCTTCGTTTTTTTTTCTTCTACTTTTTTTGCTGTTCAACCTTTTCGCCCTTCTTGCACCATGTTTCCCATCTTCTTGGTGAATACATAATCGCAACAATAATCAAAGTGTAATCACTGGCCAGCCCACTTGATTTACCTTGAGGCTTTGGTTAAACAAATGTTAATCATTATAATTATCTTAATACGATATCAGAAGCAAAAATAAATATCAAGCTAAACGGTAACCACTTTGTTTCTCAACCTTTTTTTTGCTTCTTTTTCTGCTCGCCATTCAATGAGCATTTATCAATAAATACGGAAATTCATTTTCATGAGCTCAATATCGTTTCTCTTGATTCTGGTATTTCATGTTTTTCCATCATTTGGCTAAAGGAAAATTATTCAATTTGTATTTTAATTTGTTTACTCTAATGTGCACCTCAATTGATGATGTTAATGTTGCTTGAATATTCATTAATCAGTAAATAATGAAGGAGCGTTGAGTGAATTTTAATTAAATGAATCAGTAGCAATGGTTATCATCATTTTTAGTCGCTCACTTTAATGAGAGGTTTTCCTTCAAACATTATCATTAGAAACAATTTTGCACCAAATTATTTGTAATTAATTTGTTTGACCTTGTTAATTGTGAGCAAGGCGAGTTTATTGCAATTAACTAAACATGTTAACAATAAATTTGCATTGATTAGCAGAAACCAATGAAACATTTTCGCACAACTTTGCATATCGAAAAGTGTTTTATGGTTTAAACAAGTTTCAAGTTTCAAGTAAACTCTAAACGTTGCTTCTGTTACTTGACCAATTTGATTGTTGAATAGAAACTGAACTTTATCGAAAATTAAAATTTCTTTACTCACCAAGATGGCTCCAGACTGCATATAAAATGATCCAATTGTCGTCAACCTAATTGGGAGAAGAGTAAAAATTTAGATTAAAAATCGTTTAAAAATGATCTTTCAATGAAAGTTTCAAAGCAAAGGTTTACAAATGTTTTCATCAAAATCTGAACATTTTTAGTAAAAAGTTTTTTCTGGTTTTCAGTGTCATTGCAATTGCATAACATTGAGATCATTCAGAATGAAGATGATCATGAAGAGAATGCAGATGAATTCATATTCGAGGGGAAATTATTCTAAATTTCATTAATGTTCCGTTCATGTTGCGATTTTCGTTGTTTCTTTATTAGCTTCTTATCCAATTGTATGTGTTCAATCTTGGTGAACTTTAGAATCGTAAAAATAGTAGCTTTTTCTTTTTCTAATAGCTTTTTATGCGAAAATGGCGAGATGATTTTCTGATGTTAGCTTGATGATCAGGTATCATGATGAACATTATCATGATAATTAGCATCTTAAGCAAACATTATCGTCTTAAAGAGTTGAAACTGTGCCATCTATTAAGTTACAAATTAACTGAATAATAAATTGAAAGACTAAATGAAAATGGCGAAAGCAAAAGTTTTTCATCTTTTTTACCTTTACCACTCAATCATCATCATCATCTTCAGTATCAACCTCATCATCAGCATTTCTCATGTTAAATCTGATTTTAAGTAATTAATCATAACATCAGGTTCAGTAGCGAATAACATTGCTACTGGTTATTATTATTTTTTTAAATTAACTTACTTCTAGAATAGATTAGATATTTACTCATTATTTGTTATAAATTTTTGTTTTCTCGCTTCTCTTACTTTTTGTTACCTGTTTGCTGATGAACCAGAACTTCAATCATTTTCATCCTTCTCATCAATATCATCTTCTTCATCTTAATCATCATTATCTTGTACAACAAAACCGCAATCTTGTTCATAGTTACACTCACCTTTCACTTTACGCTCATGTGTATGTTTATTATTATCATTACCATTATTATTATTATTATATGATAGATTACCTGGGATGCTTGAACACGTTAATAAAGTCAAGGTAAGATTAAAGAGCAACACAAAATGATACAAATTAAGGTCATTCATTTGAACGCCTTTTCTTTTCTCATCTTTATCATCTTTTTCTTGGCACTTCACTTCACTTTGCTCAATTGAAGAGCTGACGCAGCAAATTGTTGCCATTTGCTGTTTCAATCACATGGAGAAGGTAAAAAAAGAGCTAATTAGTTATCTTCATTTACCTTTTTCTGCACCTCATCAAGTTATCTTGGCGTTATTCATTAAACCAAACATTAGTCTTGTAATCATCAAAATGAAGATAATTTTGATAAAGATTTTCATTTTTTAACTCAACTTTTTAGTCAAACCTTTCATCTCTCTGTTCCTGGTTCATCATAGTTGAGCTTTCAGCTTACAAGGCTATGGATAGCAACACTATCCTAACCTAACCTTACCTAACCTCATTCGTCATTCAATCATTTTGGTTTATTTAAAGTGATTAAAAGTCCATAATTGTCGATTTAAGAGTTTGAACTCCATGAATCAAAGGTTAACTTTTAATCGCAACTAACCTTGACGCTGTTAATCCTAGCTTACTAGCGCTGTTGTCACATGAAAAATACATTTAGAACAATGATTCAAGAGTTTTGTTTTTGTCCAACTTCCTCACTCAGTCACAACTTCCGAGCTTGGATTTATCTTCTAATTTCAATTCTGAGCGAATGCGAGTTAAAATCCTTTCAATTTCACATGAAAAATACATTTAGAACTATGATTCAAGAGTTTTGTTTTTGTCCAACTTCCTCACTAACTTTCCCAACTTTAAATGCTTTCAGGTTTTCAGTTTTACATTAACATTGAAACAAATTAATTGGATGCAAATGCATTGATGAAAATGATTGCCTTGATTAAGGTTGATTTAATCGCTATAAACTAATTTTACTTTGAAATATTTCTAAATGTATGTTTATGATTATTCATCAAATCAAGATTCAATTCGAAATCATTCATTAGAATCTCTCTTTTTTCCCTGCTTTTATATCACAAAATTAATACTTCTTCTAATGCAATCATTTCCACCGAGTTTTTAGGCAATTTATTTCACTGAAAATAAATGAAAAAAAAGATTCTCATGTGAGAATATAAATGGAAATTATTCATACAATAATCATATAATAATGATAAAAAAGAAATTATGTTAATGTTTGATTAAGGCTAGAATTCATCTGAATCGTGTTCAGAATCACTAATTCAGTCGCAAATTAAGATGAAAGAAAAAGTTGCTGTCGACTACTTTATCTTGACCATCACTTTGATTCTTACTTTTCATGACAAACTTGAGGAAAGTATCAAGTGAATTCAAACAAAATTTCAATTTCAAAATTCAAATGAGTTTCAAAGTATCAATAAATCAAAGCTTGAAGCTTGTTTTTGCAACCAAAAATGATGCTTAAACGACGACAAAAAGCAAACATTAAATAACATTTAAAAGGCAACATTGTTTGACAAAAACTTGTGAGTTTGGGAATAAAAAAAAGTCTAATAAAGAAAGGTTAAATTGTATTGAAAAATAGTGACCATCAAAGGTGAAAAGAAGCTCATTAAATTCAGAATTGAATTGAATGTCCCATGAATGTCCCTAGGAAACCATTGAACCGTCAAAGTAAATCCAAATGAAACGAGAAGATGTAAAGAGAAAAGGAAGAAAAGAAGAAGAAAAAAAGGAAGAGAAAGGAACGGAAAATCAACTGAAAACTAAGGAGTATTGAATGAAGATGATGATGAAAATGATGAGGAAAATGTGAGAAGAGGTCGAAAATGCGAACAAGAAAATAAATAAAGAAATGTTCTTTCAACCAATTTGTTTCAACTTCTTGAATAATCTCTTCTCCAGAATTGAACGAAAAAATTGTTGACCAGAAATAAATTTGCTTCTTTTCATTCTCATCATCATTATCATCATCATGTACTCAAATTCATTTCTCAGTTTCTTTGCCTTCTGTGTGTTCACCATCTTCTTGAATCAATAGAGATGAATTTTATTCCATTATATTTACACTGAATTCTTTCAATTTTCTTTTCTCTCTTTTCTTACATTTTTGTTCATTTACTTTTTTTTCCTTCTTCTTCTTCTTCTTCTTCTTCTGCCTTCAAATCCGGAATTTGATTGAAGTCGTAAAAAGAGGAAGGCAAAGAGAGGAGTGAGCATCAAATAATAATCATCATGATTATGATTATGATTATGAGTGATTCCAAATGAAGCCATTTACTTACATTTTGATGGTAAACAAACAGAAAAAACAGCCAAAAAATAAGAAACATTTCACATGAAAAGAACAAAAAATCTCCTTTTTTCATCATTTCACTTTAATAATAATGTCCTCTTAATGCATCATCATCCAGGTTTTATCGTTAATTTTTCTTCTTTCTCTTCACCCAACAAATCTCATCTTCCTCTTCATGAAAAAAACAACTCATTAATGGAATAAAATTTTGCATTTGTAACATCAACAAAAAGTTTAACCCAAAATTGAACCAGAAAAGGTTCATTAAACCAAAAAATGTCTTCAATTTTAAAACAAAGTAACAATTTCTCGTCACAATAATAATGCAAAACTGAAGGAACTCAGGAAACTTGTAAAACTTGGCAGATGCCGAGTCAAGACAAAAGTTTAACTCTTGAATCATGTTTTAAGTTGCGATTAAAACTTAACCTTTGATTCATAAAGTACGCAAAGATTTTTGTCACAAAATCATCGGAATGACAAACAAGGTTAGGTAAGGTTAGGTTAGGATAGTCTTGCTATCCATAGTTCATTTTAAACTTTTACTCAGCAAGATAAGCAAAAGCCTTTCAGCTTATGGATTGGCGATGAAGGTTAGGTTAGGTAAGGTTAGGTTAGGATAATTTTACTATCCTTGGCTTGTAAGCTAAAAGCTCAACTATGATCAAGTCACAGTAGTAATGCAAAATAGTCGGATGATGAATCCCAACTTTACTTAACTTTTTAATCACTTTTAATCGACTGAACCAGTCAAAGCCTTGAAGCTATGTGAGCGCCTTTTTGCTGTTAACCTGTCCATTTTGAATTATTCATCAACTGATTGAACAAACACCTTTAACTTTTAGTTGACAATTAAAATGAATCAATAGTGACATCATCATCACGACTATCACTGGTATTATTATTATCATAATGATTATCATGGTTATTATCATGAAACTGGAAAATACCTTTCCATTTAAAAAGGGCTTTTAACAGTCACTTGGCATTATCATCATTTAATGGTTAAATAAATTACAACCCATTTAATTGGCACAACACAAAGATCAACCTCCCAAATTGCGCTCATTCAATTCATCCTTCATCTTCCACCATCTTCAACCATTATCATCATAATAATCATCATCACTGTAATAAGCTTCAAACAATTTTCAGCATCAATCAATAATAAATATATTATATAATAAAAACCTGTGGAGTTAACATCAATCAACAATCATTTTCCTCTTCTTAATGTTGATGAGTTCAGTGGTTAACATGAGCGTACCCGATAAGACAATCACCTCATCATTTGTTAACAAAAATTGATCAACTTTTTAACGCAAACTTCCGTAAATGAATAAAAGGTAAAAAATTGAGTGATGCACAAAGTGTTTCAAAAGTGGTCAAAAAGTGATCAAGAAAAGGGTCAGCTCTTGACTTTGAGCTAATTACCAATTGAATTTGTTTTGATAAATGACGATCATTTTTCATAAAAGTTCATCAATATAAATGTTGAGTTGAATAAAAACAGGGAATGAAAAATGTTGCCAAATGTTGATTAACTTGAAGATAAAACTAATGTTAAGATTAATGCTATTGTTAACCTTTGCATGTTTAAAATGGTTGAAACCTGAAAAGAATGGCAAACTTTTGCTTCAACTGTGCAAATGATTTAAATTGGAAAGCAATAAATTAACCAATTTAATCAACCTTTTGCTCTTGGAGTAATTATTATCAATCTTGTTAGT